TCAGAAAAATAGAAGAATGCATTGGGAGAGCAGAATTCTTGCATCACGTTTAAATTCACTTCTAGCCCTTGGCATTGTGTCAGCAGAGTTTCTCCCAACCTGGAAGAGCCTCCCGGGGAAGGAGGGATGAACTGGGTGCGAGGGGCTTGGGAAGGTGAAAAGAAGCAGGTAGATTACTTTTTTATTTCCCCCAGTATTGCAGTGTGGTCACAGCCACTGAAAGGAGGCACAGAAAAGGGTGACGTTCACATCGGGGGGGCAGCAGGGACAAAGTTAGGCTTCAAAAATTATGCATTTAGCTCCTCAAGCACTGTCAAGGAACATGTATATGCTATGAAACAGCCCCAGGCTGAGGAGTTTACAATTTAACACTGTGTTTTGCCTGCGGCTGTTTATTGTTCCCGTTGCAGACGAGCAGTTGAGGTACCTGGAGCTGCTTTTACTGCTGCAGATTTGCATCTCCTGATCCACAACCCAGTGCCTCGACCGCAGCTCCATCCTGCCTCTGCCAGCATCCTTCCACCTTGGTACGACTCTAACAAGGCTCGTACTCGCCTCTGGTAGTCAGCTGCTCCGATTTCTGTGCTGCCTGGGATATTTCTATACGGTTTGCAAGGTAAGTGCATGGAAAGGCTTATTATGGGCAAGTCCTTGTTCTGGTTATGCCCTTGTCAGCTCCTCGGGGTGTAACATGCATGGAAGCCGTGCTATCCATGGAAATCAACTTATTGATACCCACAGTTAAGTGCAAGTGGGGCCTTTTCCTGCCGTTCATCATCTCGTGTCAGTCACTGCGTCACACTGGTTTGTTCATACTTCCCATGTCCAACCAGGAAGGAAACCTAAACCCATAGGTGATACCCAGAGGTCTTGGATAATGACCTTTCAAGTGATTTACATGTTTGAAATAATTTGATGCTAGGGCAGAGATCAAACCATTAATCCTGTCAAAAGGTTAAAGGGGCCAAGCGAACTTTGTTGTTCAAGCAAAAACATAATCTAAATTAGCTGAGCAGAATAAAAGGACAAGAAAATTATCGTCTTGATGCCAACCTCAATTACATTAGGTTTTATCCTAGATATGTCCTGGGAACACCTCCTGATGATGATGTGTTATTACTAAGACAGAAAAGGATGTCTTAAAAAAAAAATAAGCTTTTGTATTCTTACAGAGTCAATTAAAAAAATACAAGATAGAAATAATTCCCATGCTGCTTAGAAGTTCCCATATCATGAGCAATAATCCTTCGCATGTTTTATTTTGAACACAAAGCAGTCCAAAAGGAAGATTGTTTTTTTTTTTTTAATATTAAGACTCTATTCCATGCAGATAATCTATAGTAAATACATTGCATTAAAAGACAGTTAAAGTGCCTTTAGTCCCTCGAAACAGTCCAACTGTGCTGAAAATTCAAGTATGTGGAAAGTAGGCCTTTAGTTATTAAGAATAATATTTGATCTGGGTCCTGCTCCTGTTGATGCCAAAAACGGGCGGTGGTTAACCCCCAACTTCCATAGGAGCAAACCAACCTCGCATCAGTCTCCGATAAACCCCGTGCTATGTTTTCCCGACAGCTGAACGCAGATGAGTAGCCAAGGAGCTGTTTTCTGCCTGATGCCAGGCAGCTGCCTTACGCCCAAACGACACGCTCGACAGTCGCCACGACCTGCCAGGGCACGGTGCTTGGAAAGAAATGAGGAGCCGGAGCCGTTGGTTGTGTTTTGCACCTTCTTTTAACCAGCTGAGCATCGGGCTGAGCACAGCTAACAGCCCCGGCCCATTCTATAGCTATAAAACATACAGGTCAGTATACACACGTACGTTATGCAGTCTGCTTTGAAGCAAGGCCAAACGCTGCGTTCATCAGGATCCAGAGGACAACCTCAGGATGTGGCTAGAGAAGCCACGGGATTAAAAGCAAATCAACCCCTCTTTTATGTTATCGTCGCCATCATCGTGTTCATGCTTTGGCACTCGAGACTAGCAAGATTAACCGGCATCTTGAAGTCCGAGTTTGACAGATAGGAAAGGTGTATCAAACCTGGAGCGCTTGACTTGGTGCAGCCAGCTTTATACTTGCACCCAGAGTCTCCTCTTCAACGTTAGAGTGGTACTTATTGATGGTAAACACACTTTTCTTTGTCTTCTAGGCATCGGCAACATTACCAATGGGTTTTCCAGCATTTATAATAGACAACCTCTTCTCTTCCACTACAAAGCCATGTGCAAAGGGTATGCGGAAAGGATTGCTCCCTGCTGACTCCCAAGCTTCCTAGAGGTGAAATTCAGGAGCCCAGAGCTTGACCTCATGCGAAAGGTAGGACAGAATTATCTTATTTCTCCTTCCTGAGACACAGTGTACAAGTGCCTCGCTGCTCCAGGCTGGTTGGATCCAAACCTCACACACACGTGACTACAGGCAGTAACTTCTCCATCAGCTCTACCACAAGCTCCTAGAGATGATGAACTGGGGCTGTTAATGCTCTACCCGACAATACCCCAAACCACACTCCTCAGTAGAAGGTAGACCAAACATCTGGTGCTTTGTTTTGTTCCTTTCCTTAAAGGAGAACATTTTTAAAAGCCTTTTTTACCCCAGGCACTCAGTACTTGGCATCCCCTGAAGTACAGTTTCATGTCTCTGCTGCTTCTGTGCTACGGCACTTGGATGTTGTTATTCTCCACCTGAGTATCTGATG